ATGAGGTGGTTTGGGGTTTATTATCTGGTTAGGAAACTGGAAATAGCACACCTGCTTGTACTCTCAGAGGAGTAAAGGCACAGATTGCTACTATTAAGATTAAAAAGAAAATCCTTATACCTATAGTATTTCTCATTGTCAGAACACCTTTCTTCTTACCGAGAACTAACAACTTCTGTGTTACTGTTTATCCACTATGTGGGCTACCGGATAGGACTTTTTATGTCACAATTCATGTGCCTGCTTTCAATTTAAAAATTTCCATATGCTCTCCTGCACTGGTAGATGACTTGGTGGTTTAGCTTTGCAGTTACCATCAATTTGGCAGACTTCCTACACACTGACTCATTCTGTATCTTGCTCACTTCTCCAATGCTGAGAGGGCCAAGCAGTACTTTCAAGGTTCTTGAGGCACAGGACAATTTGTTTCTGAAACAAGCATACAGTAATTGCTCCCTTGTATCTTGCCCCAGTTCACAAAATATTTTTTTCAAGCTCAACTTGTCTTACCTATCCTGGGTAGAAGACGGTCAGCTATTATCATAGAATAGTTTGGGTTAGAAGGACCCTAAAGGTCATCCAGTCCCATCCCCTGCCATGGGCAGGGACACCTTCCACTAGCTCAGGTTGCTCCAAGCCCCATCCAACCTGGCCTTGGACACTTCCAGGGATGGAGCAGCCACAGCTTCTCTGGACAACTTGTGCCAGTGCCTCAGCACCTTCACAGGGAACAATTTTTTCCTAGTATCTAATCTAAACCTGCTGTCTTTCAGTTTAGGCCATTACAATGCATTTTTTTCTAACACGTCTCCTGCTTTACAAGGCCTTTTCAAAAGACAGAAATTTGAAATTGTCTCAAATCACTATTAAACAGAATAATTTGCTTTCTTGGTATATTAAAAATAAATTCAAAATGAAAAGACAGGCAGCATTCCTGATGAGAATCTTCCATGTGCAGGAAATTCAGATAATTTCTGAACTTAATGCTGCAACACCAAACCAAGCACATGAACGGACAGTTTCTTTCAGTAGAAGAAAGCCCATTTGAGCATTTCAAACAATGAGAAAGCTTTGCCAATGAAACATGCCATTGGAGGAAACATTCAGGCCACAAGGGGTTACCACCTCTTTTGAGTGCAATTCCCTTTCTAAAGGAAACTTGTTTAGGGGCTTTTTTTTTTTTTAAAATTATTACTCTTTTATTTCAGCCACCTACTTGAAAATAACACTAATGTACCATTAGTGCCCTAGGAGGTTAATACACATAACAAACATTTCATTTAAGTTTCCTCACATGCTCATTTGGCAAAAGTCATTAGAACTTAACATAAACGGTATCATCTCAGTAAACACTGCAAGATATAAGTAGACCATTATATATAGGAACATCAACTTCTTACGGACAAACCCCAGACACATCTAAAACAGTTCCAGGCAGTTAGCTGCTAAGTTCATGATTCATCAGTAGTAGTCAGCATGGACTCAGCAAGGGGAAGTCAGACTTGAGCAACCTGATAAACCTCTGCTGTGAAATGAGTGGCCAGGAGCTGAGGAGAGCAGCAGACATGGCCTGCCTAGACCTCAGCAAGGCCTTGGACACTGTCTCCCAGAAGATCCTCATGGGCCATCCTGTTTACCACCTCTGTGCAGAGCATAGCCCCAGCACAGCTGCTGGACAAAACTGGGAGGGGTGGTGGGTACACCAGGATCATGCTGCCATCCACAGGGAGCTCTGGAGGCTGGAGAAATGGGCTGACAGGAAGGAGCTCAACACAAAGCAGTACAAAGCTGTGGAGAAACAAAGCCATCCACTGATACATGCTGGGCTACCCAGCTGGAAAACCTCTTTGCCAGAAAGGACACAGGGTCCTGGTGGACACTGAGCTGAACACATGCCAGCAGTGAGGCACAGAGCTAACAGCACAGCTTGCATTAGGCTAAGTATCACCAGTGGCTTGACAGAGGTGATCCTCCCTTTCTACTACACACAGGAGTACTGTGTCCAGCTCTGGGCATCTCAGTGCCCAGGGTGAGACACACAGACATACCTGAGAGTCTTACTAAAGGCCAAAAAGATGATTAAGAGACTGGAGCACCACTCCCATGAGGAAAGGATGAATTGGCAGGGGCTGTTTAGCAGGTAGAAGAGAAAGCCCAGGGAGGATCTTACCAGTATGTATCAGTAGCTGCAGGGAGGGTGCAAAACTATGGAGCCAGGCTCTTGTCAGTGATGCCCAGTGACAGGAGTAGAGGGAATGGACAAAAACTGAAACACAGGAGGTTCCATTTGAACTCAAGAACCTACTTGCACTATGAGGATGACTAACAGGTTGCCCAGAGAGATGGAGTCTCCTTCCGTGGAGATCAAAAGCAATCTGGACAACATTCTGGCCAACAAGGCCTAGATGGCATGGCTTGAGCAGGGGAGTTAGACAACATGACTCCCAGATTCCCTTCCAGCCTCAACCATTCTCTGATTCTGTGAAGGAATGAAAACACAGCAGCTTTCAAAAAGGCTTTTTTTATATATAAAAAGGTCAGGAACTGCATAGAAGTACAACTTCAGTCATCTGAAAATGTTCATCACTCATCCACACTTGGAAACTCCCAGTAATATGGCAGGAGGAAAGTCAAACCAACAGTTGCCCACAATGTATGTTATGTATTTACAATTCAATTGAAGTTATGCATGCACAATAATATTTTTAAATAAATCAAATGCACTTATCAAACAACGTCTGATTCAAGGTGTATTTTAAGTTTACATACAGTACAAACAAAATATTTAAAACTTAAATTCCTTGGGTAAGACCAATTTTCATTTATTTAAAGATAAGTTAGCTCTAAAGCAATAAGAAATGTAAACATCAGGTACTATGATAAAGATCTTAAGGAATAACAACTGTGTCATAAAGTGCTGGCATATTCTTTCAGCTTTATTTTCCAGGCATTACAAAACAGGTGTAATTTCATTTCAATAACATTGTAGCAGAATTCTAAAGTGTAGCAATTTTAGAAACATTCTTTTCTACCTTTACCTTCACAGCTTTCAGACATTTTCTTTTTTATTTTAAGTGAACTTCTGTGTATGCATATAATAATTTTAGTTTACCCAGTTCAGCACTTCATGCTGGTGGAAAAAACCCCAAGAGGTTAGATAAGACTCCAACTGGGAAAAGCCAAGGACTTGGAAAAATAAGGGTGTAAAGTACCTGAACACAATGCAACAACTGCCTCCTGCACAGTAATTTTATACTTATATATACTACCAGTACCACTGAAAAGAAGTTAATAGACAGAGGAGACTCAGTGTGGTTCATTTACCCCTAGGCATCAGAGCTTTGTATGTGCTAAATATACCTGTTACTTCATTGCACATGAAATTAAGTCCTGGAAAACTTTTACTTTTTTCTGACAGACATAAGCTAAAAGAGTCTGACATGTCTTACACCTCCATCTACTTCCTGCTTGTTGACCTGAGTGTCAGCCCAAATCAAGACAACAGACCTCCATTCCCCCATGCATTGTGGTTGATACACTACATTGAAATCTATTTGTAAAAAACCTGTTGTCTCCTTATGTGAGGATGAAATACAACCTTTTACCACTCATTCTGTTCACCTCTCAATCATGTTATTCCAAAACATCAATCTGCCTATTGACAAATCCAGGCACACTTGAGAAACATTACCAGATTGGGGTATTTTATTACACAAACCAAATCAAATCCAAATCAAGGTCAATTAAATTTGAGCTCTGAGGAGTGGAAAATAAAAATATTTTGATGCAACATTTCCTTTCAAAATATCTATGAGTTTTAATACATTTCCTGCACAAAAGACTTCCAGCCTCTGTTAAGATTATTTTGTCTGTACTACTTTCAGGTTGGTAAGGCACAACTGATATTTGCTTTAAGTCAAAACTTGACATCATTTCCTCAGAACCTAGAAACAGGAAGTGGGACACACGTAACTTAAAAAAATACCATTGAACAAACCAAATTTAAAGGCACAAATCAATTATTAGGCAGTCTGCCTTTAAACACACACACTGCAGTCCATTTCTCAGAGTGGGCACGAAGATGAGGTATTATAATTGACAGAAAGATGCATTTCTGCATTAGGGAGGCAGAAAAAAAAGATTTTAATTGCAGTTTCACTGGCAAAAATGGTTATTTTCAGTTTATTCAGTTACTATTTTTAACTATAAAGACACTTTCTGGTTTGGGCCTTCTTCAGTGAGAGTATTTTTGTGGAGGTTGCTTTAGGCTTTTTCCAATTGGTTTTGGTTGGGTGTTTTTAAGGTAAGGAAAACATCAATACAGGTAAATTATACTATTTCAGAGGTTTTATTAAGGCAAGCTAACAAGTTCAGCAAATATTCACATCAGCATAGGAACCTCATCTTCTTCAAATATAATTTACTATCAGGAAGCAAAGGACCATTAGCACAAGGAGTGACAACCTACCCGTTTTCAGTTCACGCTTTGCAGAGATCCAACACAGCAAACCCACACAGAGTGTGCATTATAACCCCTAAGCAGACAGGTCTATAAGGCACAAACATTTCCATAACTCCTAATGATCCTAGGGGGAAAACAGCTTTCCAGATGGCACTAACAGATGTATCATAGTCCCAAAACACACCAACTTTAGGCTGTATTTAAAGTGACAAGAATGGTCACAAACAAGCCCAGTAAGACAACTAGATTTAGTTTCCCTGCTTGGACCAATTTCTTATTAAGGCTAGTCATAAAGGCATGTCTGTATCCAACCACTGTTTGGCAAAGGTTGAGTTTGAACAAACTCATTTTCAGGTTGCAGTTTGTTCACTCTAGCATCACTTTTTGACTAGGACTTGAAAAGTGCAAAAAAACCTCAATTATATCTTCTTTTAAAAAAAAATTCATTTTATTGGTGCAACAACTCCAGCTTCTCAAGAGTTTAATCCACTGCCAGCAATGGATAGGAAAGGAGGCACCAGCATAAAAGAATGAAAGTGCATTTCCAGTATGCCAATGAGGCACGAATGGGCAAACCATAATCTCATATTCACCACTGGAATAGATTATGCTGAATTCATGTTATAAAAGGTCTGTTACACATTAACATACTAAGTCTGTCATGAAGTCTGGGGGATACTGCAGTGAATCATCGAAACGGAAGCGTTTGGAGACTGTGCTGCTGTCCTGGGGAATGTTTTCCTTGTCTTCCTTGTTGCTACAGGTACCATTACAGCTGGACTTGACACTGCGCTCCTCTGAGCACTTTGCTGTGTGTCCTGGCATCTGGGAAGAGCAACAGGTTTCTTCAGGGCTACACAAGAGGGTGAACTCCCCTTGCTGCAACCAGGAATGAGAAAGACAGTCTGCTGCTGTGGGCCTTTCCCTGAGAAAAACAAAGGCAAAGGTGCTTGAGTTAATTCCAGAAATACTAAAACCGAAATAAAATAGCTCTGACACATGCTAAGAAGCAAAACTGACACTAAAGGGTCAATACTGTTGGGTTTTCACCACTACCTAAGCAGCTAGAAAACACACAGTTAGGGTTAAGTACTGGCCACATGCATCTAAGTTTAGCTGCCAGTTTCCCCTAAAGCTGGTTAGCTTTTCATCAGAACAGGGAACACAGTCCCTTGGGATGTTCTTAACGTGGTGTATATAAATGTGCACATGCCTATGCTTTTGAACTTGCTGGAAAACTGGCTCTGATGCAACAGAGCCAACTATTTGTCCTTAACTCTACCAGAACATATGAAAAGTTTTTGGTCAGAGAAGTGCAACAGTTTACTACCCGAGGACAGATTTCTTCTTTGAAAATTCAATGAGGAATAGTCATCAAGAATTGAAATAGGAATAAATAAATAAATAAATAAAAATCAACAAAGAAAAAAAAAAGGTGACTAAGGATAAAAGTGAAGACTCTTGAGATGCCCAGAAGAGAGAAAGTGAGTAGTAACTGTGACAGAATGTAAATATCCTGCAGGTCCACACTAAAAGCTATCAAAAGTCTTCATAATTAATTCCCTTTCTCTAGGCACTCCACAAACATAAAAGATTCCCTCATGATACTAGGGGGTTTGTATACTCCAGAGATTGGCAAAGCATCTATGTGAGATGCTAAAATAGAAATGTCTCTTCAGACATGACTTTATAAGGAGTCTTTATTTCATCAAAGCAGACACTTCTTAGGTATCATCTCCCATTGTTCCCTCCTATCAAAGAGCCTCTCTCAACCCAACGACAGGGTCACTCCTGCTTGCCACAAGCTCTCTGAAGATGACAAGGACTACTGTCTCACCACAAATGACAATACCTAGCACCATAACTGATAATACCTGACCAGCTAACTTCTCAAAGTTGGGCTATTTTGAAAGGTCTTGATTGATTAGAGTCTGAACTCCCAAAGCATGCAAAGTGCCTTAACAACGAAAACAAATTTACACTTTTGATTGAGAATGTTTTTCAGAAGCCTGAACATGGCAAAGCACTGCCAGGTATAAGTATAAAACAAAAGAGGCATTAGAGTAGAAAGATACATAAAAGGTAAATCAGGAAACAAGGAAGCACTGCAAAGAGATGGCATTTTCTCTCTCCAAATTGTGCCATGAATGGCTAGATTATAGACAAGAATGTGACCTTTCTAGAATATATTTTATTATATTCATTAACAATCTGTCCTCTGAATGAAAATATAAAGAAACTCAAAATAACAGCCTCAAAGAACAAGCCTGACTAATAATATCAGTAACAACAATATTCGACAATAACAGCCAGACAGAGGATCAAAGATGCTTTTCACACATTATGAAAAAGCATAAGCCTACACTTTAAATATCCAGTGGATAATACCAACTGATCATATTACTGATATTAAGCACATAAATTAACAATTACTTTTTCTAGGTGCTCCACAAAGTTAAGATTCTTGCCTGCAGGAGTTTGATACTTACTCTGGGTTTTTTATGAGCAGTTTCTGAATGAAGTCTTTGGCAGGTTGTGAAACTGATGAAAAAGTTTCTTCTGAGTAATCCACATTAACTTGAGATATATTAAGGTAAGTTTCTTGAATATCAGCTCCCACAAATGGTGATTCTTGTGTCAGCAGCATGTATGAGATGACACCTATGTTCCTGAGGTAAGAACACAATGTGTAATGCCACTAGAATATCCAGACAATACACCCTGCAGACTTGTTGTGCTGCAGATCACACTTCCTGAGGCATCCCACATTCAGAATTAGGAGCATCATGTGACACCTCAGTTTTATGTGATTCAACCATGTATGCACATGTAAATATCACCCCATTTTCCACCACAATTCTGGATGAAGTTCCAGATTTAGTCAACCTTTCTGTACACTCAACACCCAACTTGTGTTACAATATCCTCTTGCTGAGATCTTTTTCCCCAAAAACATGAACACGAGTGTCACAGATCATGCAATCTATTATAAATCTTTGATGGTTTCTTGATGCACAATAAAAGTGCTTGATATCTGATAGATCAGAACTCAGTACTCATTACTAAGTGTGGAAACATGCAGCTGCAGTGTTTGTCATCCTGAGTAGGGCACCAATAGTTTGTTTTCATGTCTTCCCACAAAAGCAGGCAAATAATAAGTGGTAAGATTCAGTTACTATTATGAGAATTTCGAGGAGCAATTAGATCATAACTTTTAACACTGAATTTTAACTATTTATATGCTCAAGAACAGTATATGAATATATTGTTTTTAAGGAAACATCTCAAAGCTAGTCATTAAATTAACACAGCTCATAAAATTAACATGCCACAGAAAGTTCTGGATCTGTTTAAGATACTTGTCTCATTTTTAATGATTCATTCTGCAGATATTTCTCTAAAGAAGTAGAAAACTTAAATACTTCTTATCATTTGTATAGTAAAATTATCTAACATACAAAAGTGGGGAGGGAAGAGTGTCCAAGGGTAGCTAATACCTGAAAGCATGTCACTCAAGAGTAACTACTATTATGCTATACAACCATGGTATTGTTCTCTTAGAACAAATATCTACACTACACATACTCAGAAGCCACCTGCATTCCCTTCTAAGTTCCTGTGAGCTCTGAGTTATACCCTGAGGGCTTCTTCCCCTTCCATCTCTCCCTCTCAGAGCCAGCCCACCAACATAAGGGTGTTAAGCCAGATAAAAGTGCATCAGTGTCTGAATCTGGCCCCTAAATTGCCAAGTGGTCCCACCTATCTCAATAAAATGAATTAAGATATACAACCTACCACATGTCCGTAGCTGTGGTAATGGGATCATAGTTTAAGATTTCTGGAGCTAAAGAGATGGAGAGAAGAAAAATGCTTTAATAAATATATTATTCAAATGGCCTTGAGTCACACACTACATTTCTGGCTTTTTTTTTTTTTTTGCCAACCATTATGAGACTAAACATGCAGTTTCATTAAGTTTATTATTTTCAACCCACAAGGGTGGACCAAGTTATTTCCACTTGCCTAGACACACTGATGTTTAATTGGTTCACACTAAAAGGGTACTACACAGCCTAAAGTCTATTCTATCCAAGTCTCAAGATGTTTTCTAGCCAGACGCACGCACATAAAATATGCTTCTAAGAGGTTTTCAAGTATACAGTTTAAGGGGAATGCATAAAGCCTTCAGCACGTCAACACTGCACAACCAGATGAACGAGCCAATTTCAGCATCAGTGGCTGTTAGCATATGCTAGATAGCAAGTTATTCACTGCACACTGAAGTGCTCTTAAAACTGAGTATTGGCAAATCCTGAAGGGATCTTGTCCCTCAGAGAGGGTCAAGTGTTAAGAGCAATCTTTCCCTTTCCAAGAAATATTGTCACCTCGTTAAATCACCACACTAAACAACACCCCTAATCCAAAGGACATTTCTTTGTGCATGCTAATGTCATATTTCAATATCAGTCAAAAGAATTTAACAGCCCAAATTTCTTGTTGATTCACCAGCCTGCATCACAACAAATACTACAGCACGAAATTGAGGTGCACTTACTGATATAATTTGGGATTTTTTTGCTGCAAATATTTGTTGACTGCTCTAGAAACAGAACAGCTCAAAATATGTAGCCTGTAATGTTCTTTCTCCAGTAGTGACTAGTAAGTTGGTAAGTGCATTACATGAGCT